GTTTGTCAAGTTGGTGATGTTTTAACCTTCGCAAGGACCAGGCGTAGCCACACTCGGTTCAACTAAAGTTGCAGAAACTGACACCCGCCAGCCACCTGTGTGCAAAGCACGTCGGTAGAACCAGTCTCGCGTAAGCGTACGCGTAATGTCGGTCCGGGCCGCTTCATCCAACAATACCGCCGAACCAAAGTATGACATGCTGGTAAGCAGTATGACTTATATCGCCCACAACTCACTTGTGTTCTACTCGTACATATGACATCTACGCATAAAACCAGGCTTGGATGCCACTGTTGGGGAACGTAGTAATTTCAAAAAAATTCCTACGTACACGCAAGATCATGGTGATGCATAGCAACGAGAGGGGAGAGTGTTGTCCACATACCCTCGTAGACCGAAAGCGGAAGCGTTAGCACAACGCGGTTGATGCAGTCGTACGTCTTCATGATCCGACCGATCAAGTACCGAACGCACGACATCTCCGAGTTCAACACACGTTCAGCCCGATGACGTCCCTCGAACTCCGATCCAGCCGAGTGTTGAGGGAGAGTTTTGTCAGCACGACGGCGTGGTGATGATGATGATGTTCTACTGACGCAGGGCTTCGCCTAAGCGCCGCTACAGTATTATCGAGGTGGACTATGGTGGAGGGGGGCACCGCACACGGCTAAAAGATCAACTGATCAATTGTTGTGTCTCTAGGGTGCCCCCTGCCCCCGTATATAAAGGAGCAAGGGGGGTGCGGCTGTCCAGGAGAGAGGGCGCGCAAGGAGGAGTCCTACTCCCCCCTTTTCCTAGTTGGATTAGGACTTGGGAGGGGGAAAGAGGAGGGAGAGAGGAAGGAAGGGGGGCGCCGCCCCCCTCTCCTTGTCCTATTCGGACTAGGGGGGGGGAGGGGCGCGCGACCCAGCCCTGGCCGCCTCTCCTCTTCTCCGTAAAGGCCCACTAAGGCCCATTAACCTCCTAGGGGGTTCCGGTAACCTCCCGGTACTCCTGTAAAATCCCGATTTCACCCGGAACACTTCTGATATCCAAACATAGGCTTCCAATATATCAATCTTCATGTCTCGACCATTTCGAGACTCATCATCATGTCCGTGATCACATCCGGGACTCCGAACAACCTTTGGTACATTAAAACATATAAACTCATAATATAACTGTCATAGAAACGTTAAGCGTGCGGACCCTATGGGTTCGAGAACTATGTAGACATGACCGAGACACGTCTCCGGTCAATAACCAATAGCGGAACCTGGATGCTCATATTGGCTCCCACATATTCTACGAAGATCTTTATCGGTCAGACCGCATAACTACATACGTTGTTCCCTTTGTCATCGGTATGTTACTTGCCCGAGATTCGATCGTCGGTATCTCAATACCTAGTTCAATCTCGTTACCGACAAGTCTCTTTACTCATTCCGTAGACATCATTCTGCAACTAACTCATTAGTCGCAATGCTTGCAAGGCTTAAGTGATGTGCATTACCGAGAGGGCCCAGAGATACCTCTCCGACAATCGGAGTGAAAAATCCTAATCTTGAAATACGCCAACCCAACAAGTACCTTCGGAGACACCTGTAGAGCACCTTTATTATCACACAGTTACGTTGTGACGTTTGGTAGCACACAAAGTGTTCCTCCGGTAAACGGGAGTTGCATAATCTCATAGTCATAGGAACATGTATAAGTCATGAAGAAAGCAATAGCAACATACTAAACGATCGGGTGCTAAGCTAACGGAATGGGTCAAGTCAATCACATCATTCTCCTAATGATGTGATCCCATTAATCAAATGACAACCCATGTCAATGGCTAGGAAACTTAACCATCTTTGATCAATGAGCTAGTCAAATAGAGGCATACTAGTGACATACTGTTTGTCTATGTATTCACACATGTATTATGTTTCTGGTTAATACAATTCTAGCATGAATAATAAAAATGTATCATGATATAAGGAAACAAATAATAACTTTATTATTGCCTCTAGGGCATATTTCCTTCAGCGCACTCACACCATGTCTCAAAGTGGCATTGCTAAACCAAAAGTTTACAAAGACGGGTGTGTTCGTTGGGGGTCTTTTTGTGCTGCAGGTGAACCAAGAAATTTACAAGATGCTCTTGGTGACCCCAAGTGGAGGAAGGAGATGGATGAGGAGTACTTTGCTCTTATGGATAACAAAATGTGACGCCTCGTTCCACCTGTCAAAGGGAGGAACGTCATTGACTGCAAATGGGTGTACAAAATCAAAAGGAAGTCTGATGGCACTATTGACAGGTACAAGGCTTGGTTGGTTGCCAAAGGCTTCAAGCAAAGGTATGGAGTTGACTATGAGGACACCTTTAGCCCTATGGTAAAAGTTTCTACTATCCGTCTAGTTCTTTCCATTGCAATTTATCGGAATTGGTGCATGCGTCAACAAGATGTAAAGAACGCGTTTTTGCATGGTGTTCTGGAAGAGGAAGTGTTTATGAGGCAGCCTCCTGGGCATGAGAGCTCGGTCTCACCACGACATGTTTGCAAACTTGATAAAGCACTTTATGGCTTGAAACAAGCACCAAGAGCCTGGTACTATTGCTTGTACTCCAAACTTCGATCCCTTGGTTTTCTTGCGTCAAAGGGAGATACGGTGCTGTTCTTTTATCATCGGCATGGAGTAACTATTTTTATGCTCATATATGTTGATGATATTATTGTTACAAGCTCCTCATCTAAAGCAGTTACAACACTCCTTAAGGATCTGAGTATGGATTTTGCACTGAAAGACTTAGGTGCCTTGCATTTCTTTCTTGGTATTTAGGTCAAAAACATTGCAAGTGGTGTTCTTCTATCACAGGAAAAATATGTGCAAGAGATACTTCAGCGGATGAGCATGGCAGGATATAAACCTGCGCCTACACCCTTAGCCACCTTCGAGAAGTTATCCCTTCATGATGGAGACATCCTTGCAACCGAAGACTCCACCAGGTATAGGAGCATCGTGGGAGCACTACAATACCTAACATTGACTCGCCCAGATATTGCATATGTTGTCAATAAGGTTTGTCAGTTTTTGCATGCTCCTACTACTGTTCATTAGACTGCTGTAAAACGGATACTTAGATATCTTCAAGGAACACAGAGTCATGGGCTTAAGCTTTGCAAGTCAGACTCCATGCTCATCAGTGCGTTTTCTGATATAGATTGGCCAGGCTGTCCTGATGATAGGATCCACAGGAGGTTTTGTAGTTTTTCTTGGAGGAAATCTGGTTTCATGGAGTGCTCGTAAGCAGGCTATCGTGTCTCGGTCTAGCATCGAAGCTGAGTACAAGGCCCTAGCTAATGCCACTGCTGAAGTGATCTGGGTCCAAAACATGTTGATAGAGTTGGGTATTCATCATCCCAAGGCAGCATCAATATGGTGTGACAATTTGGGTGCGACGTATTTATCTGCCAATCCTATTTTTCATGTTAGGACAAAGCATATCGAGATAGACTATCACTTTGTTCGGGAACGGGTCGCCAACAAGCTGTTGAATGTTTGCTTTGTTCCTACTGGTGATCAAGTTGCAGATGGGTTTACTAAACCCCTTTCTTTGAGGGAGCTGGAGGCATTTCGACGCAACCTCAACTTAGATAAGTTATGATTGAGGGGGAGTGTTAAACAATGTATATACGGTGTATCTATAAACCGTATACGCGTGCGTGCATGTAGTTAGTTGTAACCATAGTTGGGCTGTTGTGATTGTGTCTTATCTAGATTATGACTTGTAAATCAATCCACAGCCTAACAACCCTTGTATATCTCGCGGCCTTGTACCTATATAAACATGCACGCGTCCCTGCTAAGAGCATACGCTTTAGCCTCATTTTCTACACCCAGACCAAGATCTCCCTACTCCTGCGTCATCGACCTCGCTGCAGAAGTCTGCGCCTCACCGTGCTCTGACTGTTGTGGTTCCACTTGGCCCAGCTAGAGAGCGCAACAAGAAGCTGTACCAGTGGGGCCAGGGGTTGCTACATCATCAGACTCGCCTCCGCTTACTCCTGCGGCATTGACGACGGGTCTTTCTACCACGACCGAGAGGACGACTACTCCCATCCGGCGCAGTGGTCGTCACATCTCATCCGCTGGATGAGAACTCTCTCTCCAAGGCAATGCGTGGAGCGTAACCTTGAGTCACCGATAGTGCATAGAGGTACCCCGCAGCCAATCCGCCGTTCTTAATTTACGCCAACACTTGAGCACCGTCAATCGCATCGACCACATGGCAGACCAAGAGCCGGAGAGGCCAAGCAAGTGTTGGGTAATCTTGTCTAGGTTTGCGTCGTAGCAGTACGTGTCCTGGGTGTAGAGTCCTAGTAGTAGTCAGATTCGGCATTGTTAGTACTCCCTCCGTCTCAAAATTCTTATTTTAAATTTGTCTAAATATGGATGTATCAAGTCACGTTTTAATATACATCCGTATTTAGACAAATTTAAGACAAGAATTTTGATAAGGAGGGAGTACGTAGTCAAATTAGTATTGCAAGGAGGTGGTAACCGTGTTAGCTGTCTACGTATAGGGAAAGGACTTTGCTAGTCGGTTGGTAGTTGCATATAAACCCTGCGTGAAGATTGAACCGCTGGAGTTGAGAAAAGGAGAAAATATAAAGAGAAGAACAAGTAGGCGAGTTCCAACTTCCAACAGCAAGAAGGAGCGCAGGTCGTCGCCGCCACCGGCCATGGGCTCCGACGGCCTGACTGCGTTCGCGCTCCGCCTGGCCAAGAAGCTCGGCGAGGGAGACAACACCAGGGGCAGCAACATCGCCTTCTCGCCGCTGTCCCTCTACACCACGCTCGGCCTGGTGGCCGCCGGAGCCTGCGGCAGAACTCTGGATGAGCTCCTAGCCCTGCTCGGTGCCGCGTCGGCCGACGAGCTCGCCGGGTTCGTGCACGGCCTCCCCTCCGACCCGTCCGGCTCCGGTGGGCCTGTCATCACCTACACCTACGGTGTATTTCACCAGGAACACATGGAGCTCACGCCGGACTTCCTCCACACCGCCACCGAGTCCTACAAGGCAGAGATACGCGCCGTCGACTTCGCTGAGGTAGCACTCTAACTTTTTTTCTTCATCTCTAACGTTGATCGCTGTTTCACATTGGCAATGGTACGTCATTGTTTGTTACAACGTGCATGTGTAGGATGAGGTCAGGGAGGAGACCAGGAAGGAGATCAACCAGTGGGCGGCGGCGGAGACGAACAATCTCATCTGGGAGTTCCTGCCGGAGGGTTCATTGACCGACCACTCGAGGTTCGTGCTCACCAACGCCATCTACTTCAAGGGCGCGTGGGAGACCCGCTTCCCAGAGAACCTCACCGAGGACCATGAGTTCCACCGCCTCGACGGCGCCGACCCCGTCGACGTCCCCTTCATGACCCTGCCGGGAACATGCGAGCTCTTCGTCTCATACAATGAAGGCTTCAAGGTGCTCAAGCTCCCCTACAAGGCCGGTGATGATGCCATGTCGCGGTACTCCATGTGCGTCTTCCTCCCGGACGAGGACGACGGGCTGCACGCCATGGTCAGCACTCTTGCGGATATGGGTGGCTCCCTGCTTGACCACGTGCCGAAGCTCCGAAGCAGAGTGAGGGAGCTTATGCTGCCCAAGTTCAAGCTGTCATTCTTTTGTCGTCTCGCCCAAGTCCTTCGAGGCCTAGGGCTTCGGGAGGCGTTCACCGAGGAGGCCGCCGACCTGTCTGGCATCATGGACAAGAGCGTCTGTGACGTGCGCTTGGACGAGGTGTTCCACAAGGCCGTCGTCGAGGTGAATGAGGAGGGCACCGTGGCGGCTGCCTGCGCCGCCGTCATCGGCCGCAAGAAGAAATGTGCAATGAGGTTGGAGTTCATCGCCGACCACCCTTTTGCGTTTTATATCGTGGAGGAGGTCTCAGGGGCCGTGGTCTTTGCCGGTCATGTACTGGACCCTTCTAGCTCACCGTAATAATCAGCTGTAGTAGTAATCTTCTGTATCTAAATAGTTAGTCCCCACTATCCTATTTCTCTCAACATGCAAGCATGACACCTCATCAAGCAACATGCATTAGAAAAGACCCACTTCAACATTCAATGAGCCATAGAAAAATATTCACTTCAACATGCAAACATGCATGATATATTTAATAAATATTTTACAAAAATACTATATAATCAAACACAAATAACAATATGTATTTTTAGTTTTAGCTCACATATTATTTCTCCGAATATTCTTATTTCCATAAATTATTAATATCTTAGAAATCTATTGCAAAATATTCCCGCAACAACGTGCGGGGCATCGTCTAGTTTTATTAGAGCTCATACTAGTAGTTAATTAATATTCTGCCTCGAACAACTATAGATAATGTTGGAAACGAATATTTTGGCAATGCAACTCGATGATTGATCGGTGCATAGCGCACGTATATATGGAGTACAAGGTGGGCCACAACCTCAACTATACAATGACTAGGAGGTGGGTCGGACTATACAATATACATGCACAAACCATATATTCAACACCCCCCCCCCGCAGTCGAAGCGTCGCCGGATACGCAAAGACTGGACCTGAACTCCTCGAAAATAGAAGTAGGCAGTCCTTTTGTCATAACATCGGCAAACTGTTGCGCCGTCAGGACGTGGAGGACCCGGATGCGCCCAAGGGCCACCTGCTCACGAACAAAATGTATGTCAAGCTCAATGTGCTTCTTTCGTCGATGATGGACCGGGTTGGCGGAGAGGTACACGACGGAGACGTTGTCGCAGTAGACGAGTGTGGCCTTGTGAACATCACAAAGTAACTCCTGGAGCAGCTGACGAAGCCAAGAGCATTCGGCAACGGCGCTAGCCACTGCCCGATACTCTGCCTCGGCACTCGAGCGAGAGACTGTGGGCTGTCGCTTGGAAGACCAAGAGATCAGAGACGGCCCAAGGTAGACACAGTACCCCGAAGTGGAGCGCCGCGTGTCCGGGCAGCTAGCCCAGTCCGCATCAGAGTAGGCGACAAGGTCGGTAGAGGCGGAGGCCGCCAGTGTAAGTCCCATGGACGTAGTGCCGCGTATGTAACGGAGGATACGCTTCACCAAGGTCCAGTGAGAGTCACACCACTACACCACAACACTTGATTGGGGGCAATTAACTGCCGGGAGAAATATCTATATAAGGGCAAACCAACTGCCGGGGATCTCTTAACTGCCGGCACAAGTACTTGCAGACAGAATAACTGCCGGTAGAAGTTGAGCAATAATGGCATACATACTGCCGGCGTTGATATCCACCATTTAGGTCACTCTCAGAACTAAACCTTGGCCCATTATCTGCCGGGAAGCGTTAATGGCGCGAGAACGAAATAATTGGGCCCAAAGGCGCGCCAGCGCGGAGAGCGCACGAGAGCCCAAATACTTCGCTCCAGAGACTTAGCGGCCGCCCCAGATCTAGCCCAAATCACCATCTGCTCCAACCCTAGCCGCCGCCAACACGAGACGACGCCGAGCACCCACCACTGCCCGACCCCAGCCGCCCCTGACCACCCATCGCAGCAGCTGTCCTCTCGGACCACCGCCGCCGCCGAGCACCCTCCTCCGTCGCCGTCAAGTACCCTCCTACGCAGATCTCGTCCGCCCTCCGCCCATCCCCAGCGCCGCCCAGATGTCGCCTCTCCTTCCATGCTTTCTCCCCGGGCAGCACCGTCTCTCCTAGGGTATGCGCCACCGACCATCATGCTCTCCAGCCTATCGTCCTTCGTCCGTGCTCCTCCGACCTCCCCCTTTTGTACTTCGAGCGCGAGGTATGGTCCTGGTGCTTCCCGTTCTCTTGTATTCTTTACTGTTCTTTCAATTTTTCCAATGATTTGTAACACACATGAGCACATCTGCCAAATCTTCTCCCTCTGCTTTGAGGAAAATAGCAGAGCACTCTGATGGAAGAAGTCAGCCTCAGCCAGTGCAAACTATAGCTCTAGAAATAGTTGCCGCTTTGTTTTACTGGTAAATACTTGTTACAAAGTGCTATTTTCAGCTGTAAACATTCAGCCTACACTATGTACTGCATGTTTTACTAATAATTGCTGCCTGGTATCTTGTCTGACCTGAAACATATGGTCACTTTAGTAATAGCAACATCAAAGTAGAAATTGGGTTGGGCAAGGAATTCATGATTCTGGCCCAACTTTTGTTAGATGTGTAAATTGAAAAATGTTTGTCAACTATGATTATTTTGTTTCAAATAATAACACGTAAAAACCTTGTTTTGTTTGCATGTTATGGTTTAGGAGGTTGAACAGAATATTAAGACGCATAATAAGTACCTGTCTTATTTGCTCATGAAAATGTTTGATCTTAACATAGGAACATGATCTGACCCCATGCGTATGTTAGCAGTCTGGTTTTCATGCCTTTTGTGAATGCAAAGTGGCACTTGATGCATAGCTAGTGTCAAAAGACCTTCATAATTTGGACTGCTAATTCTCGTGGATTATCTATCTGTTTGTTTGAAACTGCTGTCCATTGCCAACATATTTCTTCCAGCAATTTTGCAGTTGGATTCTGGTTGGATTCCTTTATTTCCAAGTTTAATTGTGTCATTCTTGTAATTTCTTTACCGTGCTATGCAGAATGAACCATCTTTTGGTGGTGCTTGAGTCATGGGCATAGATGCATCTAACCAAATAATGCTTGCTTCTGGGAAGGCACCTAGTGTAGGTGGAGAACATGTTCTAAGAAAGGTATAGTACATTTAAATCTCGTTCTTTGCCAAATCTTCTGATACTGAAGTTGTCAAGGATATATGCATCTGGTCCATACATAACACTGTCACTGATAACAGCGGCTCCAAAAAGATTTTTCTGCTTCTGCTATGGGACCTTGCATGTGGGATGATGAGGGCAATCAAAGCAGGTATGTGACACAGGGATAGTTGAAAAGCGGCAACACCTGATTTGATTCTGATAGTGTTTTCTGTTGATCAACCCAGTCTAGTGGGAGTCGTTTGCTAGGCTTTCTCCGATCAAAAAGGCTGAGGAGGAGAAGTAGCTAAATAGCATTGGACTTTATCTTGTGAAAAGGCTGAGGAGGAGAAGTAGCTAAATAGCATTAGACTTTATCTTGTGAAAAGGCTGAGGAGGAGAAGCAGCTAAGCAATAGTTCGCTTTCCCTAGTTGAAAAGGTTGAGCTGAACTAGACTTTTCAAGCTTTAGTGCATTGAGCTGGCAGCAGCAAGCTTCTAGGTAGCTACCTCACATTCACGTACAACTGCAATAGGCAGTTTGTAATCCCCTATAAAAGGAGCCGTGCTCCTTCATTGTAAATCAGGGCCATTTCATTTCTATCCAGCCAAGCCTCAAGTGTAGTACTACTACATATACGTGTATGTGTTTTGCTAGAATGCTTAAGCATAAATAGTTAGTAGCACACAACTGCTACTGTGTGAGTTCCTCTGTTCTTGTGTGTTGCCGCAGCAAGTGTGCAGCTGGCTGCTATTTAGTCCTCTGCTAGATTGTACAAGACAGAGAGCTAGTTACTCGCCAGTAGTTTTGGGCTAACATTTTCTTCAGGTGGCATCCTTCAAGGACCATCCTTATTAGTTACTTACAGCAATTTTGTTGATTATGGATTATGGATCATCATCAGACGGCCATGCACATGCATAGAACTCACTTTTTTCTAGCTAGCTAGTTGCTACTCCCTCTGTCCCATAATGTAAGATGTTTTTTGACACTACACTAGTGTTAAAAAGCTGTCTTACATTATGGGACGGAGGGAGTAGTTGTTACTGTTTGCAGGCGTAAGAACTGAGAACGGCACTGAATAGCCATGCTCAAGGCTTTTTAGGTTACCAAAGAGGACGCCCCTCTACGGGGAATCTCCAGCGGCGACAGTTATACACTGACTGGATTGTTGTTATACACTGCCTGAATAGCCTTGTTTTTATGTTGCTACACACTGCCTGAACTGTTAAAGGCCTTGATTGACTTTCATTGATTGCTATAATAATGACAAACTGTCCAGAAGCAGGACTAGTCTGTTTCTTTGATTATAATAATCAACAATTGGTAAGTTTGTCTAGCTTAATTGTTTCTGAAATTTACACAACACGTCAGGTAGATATATGGTGGAAAGGTGAAGGGCACATGTACACATATTTTGTTGTATCAGTGGCTGGCTGTGCAAGCTCACGTGATTTAGTTTAAAATACTGTCGTAAATATTGCATCTGCGATACGTCTCATGATTTTGCAAATACTGTATAATATTATGGTTTTCACAAACTCTGGTATTTTGCAGCTAGAAGTTTAGAAACTGTAGTTTTCGAATACTACAATTTTACATATACTATTCACCCAAACAGAGCCTGAGCAGTTTGGAGCCCTTGATGTCCTTTTTAAAAACTGAGCAGGACTATTGATGTTTGGATAGAAGTCCTTGCTGAAAAATGCTTGGCCTGGAGCCTCCTTGCAAAGTGCCTGGACTATGTTTAGTTGATGTCCTGAAGAAATGTCTATTGACTTCTGCTATTTGCATTAGAACACTTGTCCTTATGTGATATAAAGATTGCATTTTTATTGTGCTGTCTTGTGCTTCCATTACTAGTTGCATGTTTATGATACAACAGGTTTATCGTTCTATGAGAGCTCCATTTTGAGTTTCCGGTCTGTTGCAGGTTTTCCTAAGATACACAAGTTGATGGAGGATTGCAAGATCTACATACAAGCGGTTGACGGTTTGGAAGTTCTACAGCGGCTGAAGGTTTGGAGGACATACAATTAAGTTGGTGTAGTGATAATGTAGTGCACCTAGTTTGTTGAACCTGGAGACATTGGCAAGTTCTGCTTATTTTGGTGGTTGTTTTGGTACACAAGCCACTGGATGCTCATTTTGGTTGTGTGGCACATCTAGAAACATACGTACTATTTTGTGCCAGCACAAGTCCTTATGTATGGTTGTTTCCTATATGTATGTATCCAGAA